CCTGGACTAGTAAACATATTTTCTTTCATCAAAGAGAATTAAGTGTCGATATTTGCTCAGTTAAATATGTGTACCAAATGCTATTTAGCTGAGTATTTATTTATCTAGTTTATTATTGATTCTAATAACTAGCTTACAATATAAATTCCGTGATCTGGGAATCCATAGTAGCCAGTTGACATTTTTTCCCCGATATGTGACAACTTAGCAGCGTGATGTACATAGTCATATATCGTACTCTTGAACCTTGTGTCGAACATTAGATAGAATGGATTATCCTATTCTGGGATTCAAACGACTTCACCATGTTTCCCACATTAGCTCGATGAAAATTATATGATGATTAATTTGAATTTACGGAAATCTCCTATACCTTATTTTACTACAGTTCTGTTAGGTATAATAATTATGAAGCTATTAGTGATATTGCAGGCGTAACAAGTATGGATGCTGCAAAAGACCAAAAACTCCTCACAAGGTATGATGTCTAGTGTGGGTGCCGCGCAAGCAGTGTAGACAGACTATCAGGCCATATCACATGTTGTATCCCCAATACCTCCTATAACTCTCATAAAAGAAATTAGGTGAGGTCTCCAAAAATTCAAAAAAAGGCGTCGTATCATGAGAATTGTAGCCAAAGAGGCTAGCTAATTATTTATCCTGTGGAGTAATTCTTATCCTTTCAGATTTTTTTAACAGCACATGTTGAAATTTTCATCAGTGCTTTACATGTAGCAAAGTGCTAAGAAAAAATACATCGTTGGCAGAAATCAATATAAATAAACGTCGCTCTGCGTTTGAATAACTAACTATGAACATTATGGTTAAAAGTATCGGTATACTCAAGTTCTTTCAGATTATATTCTCTGAGGAGCATGAGCATATCTACCCATGTGTTTTATGTATCATAGATTTCACGGTGATTGATAACATCATGAAAGCTCATATGGTGAGAGGAGATGCTTGTGAAAGTGTTTAGTTTCAAATATGATCAATTAAAAATCGATAGCAACTCTTCAAATACTATTGATCATTTTCAGATATTGAAAATAAAACATTGTCAAGTACATTCATTACTGATATACATGATGAACGTCAACTTCTTTGTTGTCGTTATCAATTTTTTCTTGATGGCTCAGATCAATGTGTTTGCAACATCGAAAGTAAGCTGTGAATTTAAACGATCATTTCACGTACGAGATACGATATTTTTTGTTCAAGGATACGAAGATACCACAAAATAGACCTGAAGAGAACCGTAAGTTATGATAGGCTGT